AATCACAATGTTATCAACAGCAAACGGTTATATAATAATACCGAAACATATTGATATATATGATTATTTTTAAGGGTTTTCTTGGGTCGTCGATGACTAGAGAGTAGAGAGAAAATCAAAGTTGGTGTCGAAGTTATGATTGTGAATAGAGAGGTTCATGAATGCTTGATGTTTCATGTCTCCTTATGTATTTGGTTGATTAATTTGGTGTCGAAACTGGATTTTATGCATTCATAGTAAAGAACCTTAGAATAATTTGTTTTAAAATGCCCTTCTTTGTTCTTAATTATCAAAGTGTTTGAAAACCAACATTGTAGCATGTTATCAGCGAAACAATAATTAGATAGTTCAAATGGATCTCATTTAAATTTGTTCTAGTATGTCATAGAGATTGTTTAGCTGAACTGCATGCAAGAATTGTACATAAGTTCATTTATTTTTCATTCCTAATATTGGTGGAAGTGAATTAGAAGATATTAATCCAACCTAACAACCAGAACCAACAAAAATAAATGAAATGTTACGTTCCCAAATTGTGATTGAATAAATGTAGTGGATACGTAGGAAAAAGTCAAAGCATATAATACACACCACTCGTTCTTATACTATGAAGAAAGCATTTAAAGTAATGTTTCCCAGGCAGGACGAAGACTCAAAGTCAAAGTAAACGCAATGCATTAGTCAAGAAGTAATTAAGATGTGTTAAAGGGACCTTTTGGATTTCAATTCATTTACTAGTTCTATAACAAATTTATGTATATTTTTTATAACAAGAACCATAGTGTATTGAGATGAACGGAGAGTTTACTGTCTAGTAAAAACAATGGACTCGGAACATAATCATAAGCAGAATCAGAGGATGACGTGACCGACACGACATAATCAGAAGACAAAGACGTTGGCTTGAAGCACAAGTCATCACTTTACACTCCAAAAACCTTTTTATTTCAGAGATCAAGGCTGAGTTCTTGTGGGGGAAAGGATTGGTTCAGTACTCAATCCCGCTGACGCGACATTCGTTATCTGCCGCGTAACTCGCATTGCTCTTCCCACTAACGATCTCAATTACCAAAGCTGTAACCATCTGCCTTTTCTGTTAGGTGACCTCTCAATGCATATTCAGGAGCCATATATCCTCTGCAACCAAAAAAATTTGAAGTGCCATTGAAACATTCTCATATGTTGGGTTCATGTTTATATGACTGACTATAAGACTCACATTGTTCCTGTAATAGTGGTAAATAATGTGGCTCTTCTCGTCTTCATGGAGCCTAGCCAACCCGAAATCTGAGTTCTTTGAGTATAGATCCTTGTCTAGCAATATATTTGTCCCTTTGATGTCTCGGTGAAAGATTTTGTATAGAATCTTACGCTTGAGCCTCGAACCAATTCGTAGTCTCACTTGTCTATTACTCTCACACTGGCGTTTGAATTGATTACGAGTTCCTCACTCAATCGTGTGAGTACGTCTCGGCAAGAATTCTTGTATCATCCACTATATCTCTTTGTCGTGATAGACTTTTACACCTTGTTACGTCTCAATGAAGTCTTCTCTGTGTGTACTAAACTTATTGAAGACATTTGTTTCTAAATCATTTATATAAGCAATAAACTCTTGATTTGGTTAAATTATCATTTAGTTACTCTTTCATGTCCATTTGATGTCATCCGAAGTCAATCCCATGGAGAGAAATCCATGTAAATAATTCAGCGAAAACTAGACTTTCATAAAAAAAATATAATTTGATTTAACAAAGTGTTTTTGGAACTCTGTAAATTGAGCTAATAGTAAGGTCGTTTCAGACAACTTTAATGATATAACTAATGTAGTTAACGATAGGATAACCTCACAAGACTCTCATAAGAGACAAGGCAATACGCAATTTTATATCACAATGGTGATGATGAAAATTTTACCGTGGAGTATGGATCATGGATTCTGGATATAACGGGTAGAGATCACAACCAGAAACAGAGGAATTTATTGTTGTTGTCGTTTGATCGGTCATACCAGACGTGCTCGAGCTACCATGTGTATCAATGTCTCTTAGCTTTGAAATGCTCAAGTTGTGTCCATATAAACCAGGATCTGACATAACCTGTGTTATATCCAGCTCTCCCTCGAGCATTTGCACAACCTCTGACATTGTCGGCCTTAAGGTAGGAGATGAGTTTGTGCAAACGAGACCAACTTTGATCATCCTTACTGCTTCTTTGCTGTTGAAATCACCTTCGAGGACTGGATCTACGATCTCTATTATGTCCCCTGTCTGTTGCAGCTTTAGCGCCTGAGATTCGATGAAGAAACCGGTCAGAATTTTACACAGATTCATTTAACTATATAAACTGTGAATTGAATGGCCTAAAGAGAAAGAAAAGCTTCAGGTTACCCAATTAATAAGCGAGACGTGATCAACACTTCCGTTATGTTTTGTATTACTCCTCCCGCTAACAATTTCCATTGCCACAACCCCGAAGCTGTACACATCTGCTTTCTCTGTCAAGTGACCCCATAATGCATATTCCGGAGCCATATATCCGCTGCATTATAAGAAAACCAAGACTGAGCTATATTTCTTTGGCAATGGTGCGGTTTTTGTTTTATAATCTACTCTTACATGGTTCCTGCAATTTTGGTGCTAATGTGAGTGTTCTCTGCTTCATGGAGCCTAGCCAATCCAAAGTCAGATATCTTTGCATTAAGGTCAGCATCTAGTAGCACATTAGTGGTTTTTATGTCACGGTGAACCATCCTGATCAGTGATCCTTCGTGAAGGAATTCAAGCCCTCTTGCGATTCCAACACAGATTTTTTGTCTCGCAACCCAGTCCAATTTTGGGGAACTCTTTCCTGGCAATGGACGTAAACCACAGAGAGATGATATATGTACACTTGTTTTAGTAGACTCAAAAAAAAAAAAAACCTAAATGACTTTTATTTACCATCAAGTGCAAGAGCAAGGGAGTTATTTTCCATGTACTCATACACGAGCAGCAACTGATTCTTCTCGACACAGCATCCATAAAGCTTCACAAGGTTTGGATGATTCAGACCTGAAATCATGCCTATCTCGTTCACAAATTCGCGGTTGCCTTGGCATGATTTGGAAGATAGCTGCTTGACTGCTATGATAGTTCCATCAGGCAGCTCTCCCTGCAATAATTTCTCATATCAGAAACCCAAAGCAGCAATAATTTCTCAGGTATCTACGTTTGAGAAGAAATTGGCATCTTTTTAGCATACCTTGAATACAGATCCGAAGCCTCCTTCTCCAAGTTTGTTGGCTTGATCAAAATTATTTGTTGCAGTTTGCAGTTGCCTCCAAGTAAAGCAAACCGTTTGCAAACTCCGTCTCAGGTCTATGTTTTCAGGTTCCCAAGGGAAAATCAATAATAATGCTATGAGCATATATGAGGAATGGATTCAATATATTTTGTGAACTCTAATACCTCTTTCTCTCGTGTTCTTGTCTCCTCTGCATTTTCTATGAACATATAATCCCAAAGCCAAGAGAGTAACTGTTACCAAGGCACCCATTACCCCAAAAATTAGAGGATACTTAGTGTGATGTTCTATTTTCTCCGCTGCAAATGAGACACTAAAAGTG